GTGTTGTGAAACCTTTCTCCTACATCTCTCCACTGCCTCTCTTATTTAACCATGCTGAATTTCTGAGTCTATTAATAGCATATAGGTTTTGTCCTTCATTTTGCTAATGAAGTGTTTCACATTTACTGATTTGCATATACTGAACAGTCCTGACATGGAGTTGAGCATGGTAAACTTTTTAATGTGCTGTTGAACTAACTTTGCTAATATTTCATTGAAGATTTTTGTGCTGGTGTTCATTATGGATATTGGTTTGTTGTTTTCAGTTAGTGTTCCTGTCTGCCATTTTTACCATACTAATGTTGAGCTCATAAAACGAGCCTACAAGGTTTCTTTTTATTTATTTGGAATAATTGAGAAGGGTTGGCAATACTTCTTCGGTTGTTATAGAACTCAATTCTGGGCTTTTTATGATATTCTTTTCTATTACTAATTCAGTTTCTTTTATTGATACTCAGATTTCCTATTCCTGAACATGTTTCTAGGAACTCTTATTAAGTTTCTTATCAACTATCACAAGATGTGTAGAGTTGCCATAGTATCTTACGAACCTCTGCGCTTCTGTGCCATCAGGTGTAATTTCTTTTCATTCTTACTGTAGTCAAGTCTTCTCTTACACTTTGTCTAGCCATATGTTTGTCAATCTTTGTCCTTTTAGAATAACCAACCTTCAGCTGGTTTGTTCTCTTGTCTTCCTCTTGAATTTGTTTCTGCTCTTATATTTATTGCTTTCTTCTCCTGAATTTGGATTTAAGTTTTTCTTTTGCTAGCTTCTACTAAGTGTTGGGATTGTAGGCATGTGCCACCGTGCTTGACTCAGGATAGTTCTCAAGAAAAGAAATTTATGTTTTCTGACATAAACTTATGTACAGGAAGAATTTAGACAAGTAAGAAGGACAAGTTTGAACTTCATTAGGCTTTTAAGCAAAATGTCCTGAGTTATACATAGTATGTTCTCAACACACGAACCCGACCCTTCATTCTTACCCTCTCCCTCTCCTCCCAAGCCCCAACCCTCTTGTATACAAGTGCCATCCTACTTTCATATCTTGCTTCATTTTTGAACAATATTTTATTAATTATTTGAGAATTTCATATAATGTATATGAGCATATTCACTTCCCAAGTTTGTCTTGTGTCACTTCTGTGGCCCATTCAGTTTAACCATCTACCACCCCTTCCAGTGTGGGCATGGGCATGGAGCTAGCCACCAGAACATAGAGGATTAACGCTACCCCAGCATCCATGAAAAGTCTACAGGGCCCTAGGAATGCACGGCACCATGAACCCTTCCCCCGTCTCTGACAAAGTACTGACAGGACCAGTGCAAGGGCTGTGCCATGCCCAGAAGATGGTGGTTGTTGCCCTTCTCCCTGTCATCCAGCGCTTGCATTCTTTCTGTCCTTAATGTTCCTTGAACCTTGGGAGTGGTCATATTGCCATCCCATTTAGAGTTGAGTAACAACACTCACTTCATATCTGTTGTGATCTCTCCCCTTTTCATCTCTAATTTTATTATTTTGGATCCTCTTATTTTTGGTTAATTTAGCTAAGGGATTGTCAGTTGTGCTTGTATTTTTTAAAAATTAGGTCTTTCATTGATTCTTTGTATTGGGATTTCTATTTTTTATATTGTATCTATTTCATTAACCTTTGCCTTTATCTTAATTATTTCTCCCTGTCTACTGCTTTTGTGTTTGTTCTTATTTTCTCAAAGGCCTTTAGAATGTACCATTTGAATTTTCTGACTTTTTTGGGTGACACTTACAGCTATACGCCTTCCTCTTTGTACTGGTTTCATTTTTTCCTGAAGATTTTGGTATGTTTCTCTCAAATGTAGAAATTTTACATTTCCTTCTTGATTTTCTTTAATGGCCCATTCATCATTCAGCAGCACATTGTGTAATCTTAATGAGTTTCTGTAGTTTCTCTTGATATTTATTTCTACCATTCCATTGTAGTAAAATAAAATACTGGAGTTATTGAAAGTTTCTTTGTATCCCAGTAGATGAACTCTTTTACATAAACTTCCAAGGGCTGCTGAGAAGAAAGTGTATTTTTTTATTGTTTATTATTATTAGTTACATTTTATTAACTCTGTATCCCAGCTGTATCCTGCTCCCAATCCCACCCTCCCTCCTTCAGCTTCTCCCTGCCCCTTTCCAAGCCCACGGATTGGGGAGGACCTCCTCCCCTTTCGTCTGGCCCTGTTTTATCAGGTATCTTCAGGACTGGCTGCAAAGTCCTCCTCTGTGGCCTAGCAGGACTGCTCCTCCCTTGGGGGGGTGGGGAGGTCAAAGAAAATGTATTTTTTTGTTTGGAAAGAATGTTCCGTGTGTATCTGTAAGGTCCAGTTGACTTGTGGTGTCATTAAACTCTCTTGTTTCTCCAGTTCTGTCCAGATGACTTGTCTGTGAATATTGAAGTCATTCACTATTGCTGTTTTTCCATTAATATATGACCTTAGAGTGAGTTATATTTGTTTCATAAGAGTGGTTTTATCTGTTTGGTGCATGTATGTTTAGAGATGAAATGTCTTCTTGATGGATTTTTTTTTTCTTCAATAGAAGGTGTCTTTCTTTATCACTTCTGTTTTCTTTTAATTTCAAATCTATTTTGTTCAGTATTAGAATTACCTATGCCTACTTTTTTTTGCTGGTTCTACTTGCTAGAATATCTTTCCCATCTCTTTACTCTAAGGTAGTGTCATTTTTTATAATGAGATGTGCTTCTGGGAATTTCTGAAATCTTCTCTCTTTATGCTTCTGTTGTGAGTGCTGTACTCAATTAGCTTTCTCCCAAACCCCTCCAATAAACCTTCTATTGGTGAAATGTAAAATATTATAAAATTATGTACACTGGGTACAGTATTTTATAATATATGTTTACAAATATGAAAAATGAAGCTTTTCTGAAATGTAACAGTGGTATTCCCTAACCTCCAATTTATTATAAATGTTGATTTGTCGGTGCTGACCTATGGATAAGTCTTTCCATATCTTGAAAGCCTTTGTAAGTACGTTTCCACATGAACATACTGGTATGGCCAAATGCCAGTATGCATCCATGAGACATAGCTTTCATTGAGGATATTCACAGGTTGGAAGCATTTTTAGAAATCTATTAACTGAAGGGTAGAATGCCTTTAGCACATCATTACATTGCAAATCATTCCCAGTAGAAGCTCCTTAATTGCACACCAAATGGGTTTTGGGATATGGAAATGTTCTCTACACATGCACACAGGCCTGAGAAACATTGCTCTGGTTTGAAATCAGAATATATTTCTGGGAATTTGTGTAGGAATGAAGATAATCACTTTGAAAAACACATCTTTTGACAGTGCAGGCCTGACATGACTTGCAATTCAAACAATTTTAGTTCTCATCAGAATGATTTTATCACAGTATGTTTCACAGAAGCAATTTTCCCTTGTAATTTCTGTTTAAAACATTTTCAAGTCTGCATGTAATGCTAATTCCACAGCTCTTCAAAGTTCATGAACGGTAGTTGAACACAGCTCTTTCAGTCGCTTAAACATTTAGAAGCCACCCTTCTGTTTAGGAACATACCAGCGTAGGTTGGTCAGACCCACTGAATGTAGGTTGCTAACCCCTGATCTCTAAAGTCTTCAGGAACTGTGTTCTGACTGAATGTGCCTGTTCCCCAAAGACTTTGCAACCAATTATTAGCTTTTAGAAACTTAGCCAATATGAATGTTAACTCCCGATGTGATGATTCATTGCATACTGTGCATATATCAAAGTACGACATTTTATTTCCTATAAATTCATATAATTCAAAAAATCAGAAATTAGTTTTTTCAATTTACATTTATTTGAATAATATGAAATATCTTTACATAATTATAGGGCATTTATATTTATTCATTAAAGGCTGCCTGTTTATATTCTTTTTCCATTTTTATTGCAGTAGAGTTTTTATTCCCATGACCGTTATGCACACTATGGAGCCCTTTTCAGGACTCTTCTTACTGTGCTTCCTCAAGGCAACTTTTGCTGCTCTCTCCCGTGTTCCCAGCACTTCTTTCACATGACAGACCTTCACAAACGTTCAAGCTTTTCACACATCTGCACCAGATGTTGGTCACCCTCTTGCTTTTCTCCTAATATACTTCCCTCAAATCTTTCAAGAGTCAGATTAAAGATGAGCTCCTTTCTCTTTAGCTTTGTTGTGTACAAATGACTGCCATTGACTCTTGTCAGTTTTTATCAGTAACAACTGGCTCATAATGATCTGGCTCTCTACTAGATTCAATTTTGAGACTGGAACAATAACTCATCTACATTATGTGTAACCTAACTGAGTTTTTAAAAGTAGTATTAATATTAACATGTTTTCAATAGGCTCACAAAAATGAAGTTCTATGTAATAGTCCTTGTACAGAACTTAGTATAATATTTAGTCAAGCTCTCTTAGAGACAAGGCAACAGCATTCACGGGTAGAACTGGCTATTTGAAAGGCAGGAGGAGCTTAAGAGTTTGAGCTTAAAAGTTTAGACCAGCCTGAACCACATTATGTATGTGTGTGTGTGTGTGTGTAAAAACTCCCTTACCCACTAAATCCTAGATAGACATACACAGGCATGACTAAGGTTTTTATTTTTAATATTTATTTATTTATTTATTACAGTCTATTCACTTTGTATCCCAGCTGTAATTCCCTCCCAATCCTACCCTCCCTCCTTCTCCTTCTCCTTCTATGCCCCTTAAGGTTTTTATTTTTAATAAAACTGAGTTTCAATTTATTAGAAACATGCTTTTTGCCTTATGGCCTAAATAATTAGTTACAGCTGTGTTCTCTAAGAAAAACTGTCCTCTGCTGGTAAAGAATAGCAATAAATCTAAAATAGGAAAAAGTGCTCATTGTCCACCTCTTCCACCCCTTTTGTTATCTGAACTTTTCTTCCCCTCAGCTCTCCTCTCTAGCTCTATCAAGATTGCTCTTTAGTCAAGTCCTGTCTTCTTTATTTCCTAAGGACATTCATTACCTCGCCCTGGATATGGGTGAACGGGCACTGGCTGCAGTGGCAAGAAGAAGAGCATATGACACTGATGTGGAGTCGGTATCCTCTGGAGTCGGTAAGAGCGAGTGCACTTTCTTAAAAGTTCAGGGGCTGGACAGAAGCTCAGCAGATGAGAGCACTGGCTGCTCTTCCAGAGGACTCAGGTTCAACTCCCAGCACCCACATGGCAGCTCACAACTGCCGATAGCTCCAGTTGCAGATAATCTGATACTCACACAGATATACACATGCAGGTAAAACAACATGTAAATCATTAGGCCCCAATCGGTGAGCTCCAGGTTCAATGAGAACCCTGTCTGAAAAAACAAACAAAACAAAAAACCCAAAACAAACAAACAAACAGACAAAACCCAAGAGGGGCGAGAGAGATGGCTGAGCAGTTAGTAACACTCTAGGACTCAGGTTTGGCTTAGCACTCACAGGGCAGCTCACAACCATCTATAATTCCTGCGCCATGGGATCTGACACTCTCTTGCCATCTTTGCAGGCCCTTGTGGTATATATCTATACACACACACACACACACACACACACACACACACATATTCATGCAGGTAAACATTTATACATAAAAATAGAATAACTTAAAAAGAAGATAGGGAGCCATTAAGGAAGACAAGTGACATGAAACCCTGGCCTACATACACGCGCAGGGCAGGCATTGGAAGGATGACTTGTTCAGTAAACTGTTTGCATTGCAAGCATGGGGACCCAAGTTCAGATTCCCCAGAGACCACTTAAAAAGACAGTTATATGGGACTGGAGAGATGGCTCAGTGGTTGATAGCACTGGTCTCTCCTCCAGAGGACCCAGGTTCAGTTCCCAGCACCCACACAGAACCTGACAACAGTTCCAGAGGATCTGACAGCCTTTCTAACCTCTGAGGGCACTGGGCACACACATAATGTAGTAACACCACGGGCTTTGTGGGTATTAATTTTTAAAGTACCATCTGTATCATCTCACTGTCCCCACAGCTTGAAAGATAAACACCCAGTGCTGCTAAGTGTACTCAGTGGATGAACTGCAGTAACGCTAAATAACTTAACCAAGTGGACACAGTGGTTGTTAAGAGACACTCATACCATGAGTCTGGTGATCTTAGCCACTACTTATCGATGTATGTTGAAGAATACATTGGACCATGCGTTACCCCATGAGATGGTCACAACTTTATACCCATTTTATGGATGAAGAAAAAGTATGGTGCAGAAAGCTCAGTTGTTACGAAACAGATGTTGTTTATACTGTGTTGAGTCTATGATACTATGATACTGTGATACTATGCTGGCATAGTATCAGGATGAGTTTAAAACAGTGGTTTTCAACCTTCCTGATGCTATGACCCTTTTAATACACTTCCTCATGTTGTGGTGACCCATTTTCTTGCTACTTCATAACTGTAATTTCGCTGCTGTTATGAATTGGAATATAAATAATATTTGATAGGTGCGATATCTGATGTGACCCCCTTAGAGGTCTCGACCCACAGGTTGAGAGCCACTGGTATAAAAGCATCCGTTTTCCTGGAAAGTGATTATGTTGACACATGTTATCCACTAGGCACAGTTAGTCATGTGTTGTATGCGCAGTAACCATAGGGTTCAGTATTACTTTTCAAATTTAGAAATGAGGACACATACAGTCCCAGACCAGAAGTGAACAGCATGCCCGCTTCTCTGTGCACTGAACACTGAGAGTCAGTGACCTCTCTGCTGTCAGCTAGCTCACTGGTACCCCTGTGTGTGTTGCTACCCTACATTAACTGACACTTATTTACTGCTCCGATCTAAGAATTTTGGCTCACACGCACACATGCGCACACACGCACAAGCACTCTCTCACACCCGGAGTAAGAATAGTTCTTCGTCCTCTTTGGTTTCCACATATGTTAAACAGTACCAAGTCTGGACGCCTCTGATGTGTGGCAACACGTGCTGGAAGGAGGCCCTGGGCCACCTCAGTGCTTCAGAGCTGTTTTGTGGCAAGCAGATGCTTTATACTAAGAGCTGCTTGCTCTGTACGCTCCAGTGGGTAGCAATTAAGGGGGACTGAATTGTTTATTTAGTGGGTATTTTGTCTTACAGCTACATTTATAATATAATAGCTATATTTATACCCTAATGTCACTTACTCAAATACAGAGGGTGTGTGTGTGTGTGTGTGTGTGTGTGTGTGTGTGTGTGTTACTTTTCACTTAGTCAAATAGAAAGAGGTGTGTGTATTACTTTTCTTCAATCAGAGAAGTTCTTTCTCCTATATTGCCTGAGTGTTAGAACTTCTCATTTTAGTTGCCTCCATGGCCACAAATAAAAATATCTAGAGCTAGTCCAGATTATTTAAATGTTCACGTTGAGTTTGCATAATGCATGCAAACCTCAGATACTGAGTAAATTTTCTACTAATTTTAACTTTGGGGTTTGCCCCTTATTGTTTGTAGCAGCTGGCCGCCATGCTCTCTGTGAGCTGCTTCTCCCAGGAGGAAGTAGACTAGCTTGTGCTCACAAACTCATATCCAAAAGCAGAAGACAAGATCAAAATGGGAAAGAGAAAAATATTGTTTCTCCTAAAGCTCCTTTTTCAGAATTAGATTTATTCATAAGTATATTACTTCAATCATACGTAGAGAAGCCTGCTTCATTATTTTTGTGAAGCTTACATATTTTCGAGATGGCAATCTAGATATTTGAAATGGAGTCATTTAAGCAGAAGAGATAGCTGGCAAGCGTTCTCACGCCGGGTGGTGCTCACTGAACTGCCATAACCTTCCTTCTGTTTATCAGAGTAAGATACCATTATGGGACTGGGTAGACCACAACACCAAGGTTCACGTCAGGGATGTCAATAGGGTTTTACAGTGTTGTTCCTGCTGTAGTATGGAACTCACCGTGTAGACCAGGCTGGCCCTAGACTTAGACCTCCTGCCTGCCTGCGCTTCCTTAGAGGGTATCCATAGCTGGCCAAAAGGTTTGCAGTAATAATTACTTCAGGATTTACTCAGAAAAGCAGGAAATGTTTGGCCAATGGGATAAAGGTCCATCAGGATTCAGAGTGTTTTCCAGTAGATACAAGTAGTTAGAATTTCCATATTTCTTTGTTGACCAGCAGTTGAAGTGACAACATTGTTTGCTTCAACTACTAAAACTACTTTCTTTCTGGTCTTTGTGTGTGTGGGGGGGGGAGTAGATCAATTTCAGGGGTTTCCCCTGTGGCTCCCCACCTTATTGCTGGAGACAAAATCTCTTCACTGACCCCAGAGCTCACCAATGCCACTAGACTGGCTGGCCAGAAAACCATAGAGGGTTGGTTGCTTTCCCCACCTCCTGCTGCCCGGCTTCGAGGCTTCGAATCACAGCTGGGTGCTGAACCCTGCCTTTGTGTGGGCGCTGCAGCTGCACAAGCTCATGTGCGCCCAGCAGCCACTTTACCCACTGACCCGTCTCCCCAGCCAGTCAGCTTTCTATGGCTCCCGCTGGGGTCTGTCATCAGAGACTCCTTTCTCAGAGCCTGGGCTTTCATCCTAAGGTGGATGGTCGATCAGTTGACGTATCTAACCAAAGTCCATCGTGCTCAGGCGCTGTCCTCTTCGTTGTACGGGGTTGTTCACAGGAGCATGGGTACTTCTTTTTCCTTAATTTATTTATTTAATCACTTTTCAACCTGATCGCAGTCCCCTCTCTCCTCTCTTCCCAGTTCTACTCTCACAGTCCCCCCATCCCTCTTCTCCTGAGAGAAGGGGAGTCTCCCCCCAGGGTAGGTGCCAACCTATGCTGACACATAAAGTCACAGCAGGACTAAGTGCATCCTCACCCACTGAAGCCAGAAAAAGAAGCCAGCTATGGGAAAGGGATCCAAAGGCAGGCAACAGAGACAGCCCCCACTCGAGTTGTTAGGGACCCACATGAAGACCAAGCTGCACATCTGCTACATATGTGTAAGGAGCCTGGACCAGCCCATGTGTATACTCTTTGGTTAGTGGTTCTGTCTCTGTGAGCCCTCGTGGTCCCAGGTTAGTTGACTCTGTAGGTCTTCTTGGGATGTTCTTGACCCTTCTGGCTCCCTTAACCCCTCCTCCCACTCTTCCACAAGACTCTCCAAGCTCAGCCTGTTGTTTGTCTGTGGGTCTCTGCATCTGTTTGCACCAGCTGCTGGGTGAAGCCTCTCAGATGACAGCTCTGCTAGGCTGCTGTCTGCAAACATAGCAGAGTATATTAATAGTGCCAGGGGTTGGCTCTCTTTCATAGGGAGGGTCTCAGGTTGGGCAGGCATTGGTCGGCCATTTCTTCAATCCCTGCTCCATCTTTATCTCTATACTTCTTGGAGACAGTATAAAGTTTTGGCCGAAGGTTTATGGATGAGTGAGGGTCCCCCTTTCTCCGCTACAAGTCCCACCTGGTTACAGGAGGTGGCCCTTCAAGCTCCCTATCACCTACTGCTAGGAGTATCAGCTAGGGTCACCCCCATAGACTCCCAGGAGCCTCTGCACCAATTTTCGTTCTTTCTCCCGGTCCTTTCCACCCCACTATCACCCCTCCTCTGCTCTTCTAAAGACCCTTTCCCCTCCCCACCCCCTCTCCCTTCCAGTTCTTTCCATCTTCCCCACTTTTCTTCCAACAGATTTAGTGTGTCTGGTTTTATGTTAAGGTCTTTGATCCACTTGGACTTTAATTTTGTGCAGGGTGATAAGTATGGATATATTTGCATTTTTCTACATGTAGACATCCAATTAGACCAGCACCATTTGTTGAAGATACTATCTTTTCTCCATTATATGGTTTTGGCTTCTTTGTCAAAAATTAGGTGTCCGTGGCTGTGTTGGCTTATTTTTGGGTCTTTGATTTGATTCCATTGATCCACCATTCTATTTCTATTTCAGTACTATACTGTTTTTATTACTGTTGCTCTATAGCACAGCTTGAAGTCAGGGATGGAGATACCTGCAGAAGATCTTCTATTATACTTTTTGGGTTGTGTCTGCTTCAGGTGAGCTGTTAAGTTGCTTGTATGATATGTTTTTAATTTCTTTATGAAGACATTTAGTGCTATAAAGTTTAC